TAAACTCGTTCATAGAGCCGTTAAGCTTTGCAGTTTGAGTCTACGAGCAAGAATTTTTAACAACACCCTTAATGGTCTTAAACCGAGCTTTGTTCTCGTTGTAAACAAACGCTTTTCGGAATTTTCTTCTCGAATCTTGATTACAAATGATCTATACTTACTTCTTTGAGGATTTCAGGAACTATCGCGGGAACAAGTCGACTCTTTTAGCCAAAAAAATGACAAAGTACTGCTCGGAAGCAACCACGCTCAAAAGTGAAACCAACTTGCAGAGCGCAGCATATCTGATGACATTTCACGTGTTGACTTTCACAACTAAACGTCAACAGCAGACAGATTTGCGCCTGATCTCATTAGAAAAGAATCCAGGTCATTCAAACAGCTGATGACTAAATTGTAGGTAGGGGTAGGGTTAGGAGGAGGAGATCATTAAGGAAGTTTTGTCGTTTCGGGCTTAATTTCTGGGTTAGCAGCGATACTAGAGGAAGAGTCATTTTTATAGCCTGGGGGGCCGGAGCAAATGTTTTTTTTAAGGGAGAGGTTGGGATCACATAGTTTTCAGGAGGAAAGGAGGGGGAATCAGTCGTCTCTAACAGAGTTAAGAGCTTTGGTAGAGCTAAAACGTCAACTAGCATTGTATATGGTCCATTCTATATTGAAAAAAATAATTACACTGGAAAAACATAGTTTTCGTCAGAATAAGAAGTATACTCACATTTAAGTCAACTGAAAACGTCAAGTTCTGCCTTTTACAGGTAATTATGAAGCAATTCAAACAAAAACTTATCATCGCTATATCTAATATAAATTTCAAAAGCTTTTCAATACAAAGGAAATCAATTTTTTGGTTGGTACTTTTCAGAGGATTGGAGAGGAAATTTTTTTTCCATAATGTCTGTTACCTTGAAAGCATGTAGAAAACTTTGCATATTTGAAACCCATTCATTCAGATTTAATAAAAATATTATTTTATAAGAAGACGTAAAGAAATTCATTCACTCTTTAGTATAATGGTGTTCTGCATGAAAAAAAAACATAAAGTTGAAAATTCACCATGTTAAGTGTTTATTGAATGTTCTGGAGCATTCATTCAAGGCTGGTAGCCTTCACAAAATTGGAAAATTTCTTTCTGTCATGAAATA